CTTCAGGGGAACAGAATTAGGGGTGTGCCGAACTGAATAAATTCGGCTTTGCTGAATGGAATAAATACTCAAAAAATACCTTATGGGTATTTTTAGGGTATGTAGTCAGATTAATCAGATTCTCTAATGTAACCAGATTCTCTAATCTGATTCAGCTACCGATAAATTGTTCCTGAATAAAAGCCGATCTTATTCGGCTTTTTTTTCGGGTGCCCATCCCCGAATTAGAGGGAGAAGGGGAAACAGATTGTGGAGGCATCTTTAAATGCCTCCCCAATCTGCCTTCGCTTCCCCAGCCAACCCATCTTGGTAGGCCAGCTGGGGAAGTGAAGGCGAGGAAGAACAGGGTTATTTTCTCTCCCCCTCCACTTGGAAGCGGGGGGGGGGGGAGAGTGAAACTGACACAGCTCTAATGGCCAGCTGAATATTTTTGGCAATGCCAAGTATTTCCCGAATCCCAGTATAATACCAATACTGGGATTCTGGAATATTGGTATTTACTGATATTTTCCAGGTTTGGTTTACCTAAACCCCCCAAAATACCAATTCCCCCCCCATGCACACCCCTAAACAGAATCTCTGTAGTCTGGAGATGAGTTGTAATTCTGGAAGATCACCAGGCCCCACCTGGAGGCTATGCATCAAACACATGGGAAACACGGCAAGGTTGAGTAAATGTTTACCCCACCTGGAGGCTGGCAGCCCCATAATATGGCATGATATTTTTGGCCAGCAAGCCAGAATTGGAAACCCTGGTTTGACAAGTGGGGCCACAAGCCAGCATTTTGTGCCAAACGGAGATTGACGTTTGATGTTTTACTCTGAATGGAGCCAACATTTCTGAAAGGAGTCCAAGGCCCTGTCCACACAAGGGATTTTGGGCCGGGAGTGGGCCGGATTGGGGCCGGAGCAAACGGGCGTGATCCCACTGCAACATCTGGGCAGCGTTGCGCACCCATCCCCGATCCGGCCCTTCCCCCGATGAGGGCTCTTCTTGTAGCCCGATGAAATGCATCAAAAATGAACCACCAACCGAGGTGGTTCATCCACGATGACCGCATCAACGCCGGCCGTGGGATCGCCGGCCCGTCTTTCTGCCGGCGCATCTCCGGCTCCTGCCTGAACTGCGCATGCTCAGACATGCGCAGTTCGGCAGTCTCCCATTCCCCTCCGTCGCTTCCCCCGGCATCTGATCGTGCCGGGGAGGGAATGCGCCACGGCTCTGGGGATCAATGTGATCCCGCCGCGGCGTGTTTTTTTTTGGTGCGGCTTTCAGAAGCCGCGCTTCAGCCCGTCCCTTTCCGCCCCATGTGGCAGGGGCCCAAGTTATAACAAAATGTGACAGTTCAGCCCTGCCCAGAGATCCTTTCAGCTGATATGTGATCTTTTCTGCGATGTCACCCTCCACACCTCAGCTGAGGATTTATGCTTACGTTGTTTTTCTTACAGTCTTGATCCTGCACAACTTTTGCCTCTGTCAGACCAATGAATCACATACATTGAGCAATACTGAAGGCCGATCCACATGCCATACATTGGGCTAATCATCATTTGTTACCTCAGGGCAGCCCAGTTACAAATGACTGCTATAGAGCAACCGTTGTGCAACAGCCAGTCTGGTGTGGGTGCCACCAGATTTAAACTGGAATCATAGCCCAAGATGAGGAGGTTCTCCCTTCATCTCTTCAATGAAACAGACCCCTAGAAATGGTTTTCTCCATTCAGGAGTCGGCCAAGATTTAACGTTGGGGAGCTGAAGGCAGAAATGCACATTATACTGGCAGCTCCAGCTTTCTGAATAAAGTAAATGTAGAGCAAGTGTAGAGTATTTGTGGGGGAGATGCTGTGGATGAGGGGGTTCTTAATCCTCTCTGCCTGCCGGTTCTCTTCTACAACCCCTTCTCTCAAATTTGCATTCCTCCTGACGTTGGGCGGTATCAGGCTAGAGGAATTTCCTCCAATAGAACAGCCAGATAGGAAGAAGGATTCACACTTGGCTTAGTAGAGTGGTAGGATCCAGGCCCTTAAGTCTGTCAGAACAGGGTAGGGTTGCCAACTTCCAGGTGGCATCTGGAGATCGGCTATTACAATGCTCCAGATGATGAAGATTAGCTTCCCTAGAGAAAATGGCTGCTTTGGAGGATGGATTCCACACCCTGTTGAAGTCCCTCCCTCCCTTCCATGAAATTGCTGAGCGGTCGGGTTAGAACGGATAAGAGGAAGTACTTCTTCACCCAAAGAGTGATTGACACTTGGAATTCACTGCCACAGGAAGTGGTGGCAGCTACAAGCATGGACGGCTTCAATAGGGAATTGGATAAGCATATGGAGCAGAGGTCCATCAGTGGCTATTAGCCACAAGGTATAGATAGGGGCTCTGGGGCAAGTGATGCTCTGTCTTCTTGGTGCTTGGGGGGGTCAACAGTGGGAGGGCTTCTAATGTCCTGGCCCCCCTGGTGGACCTCCTGATGGCCCCTGGTATTTCTGGCCACTGTGTGACACAGAGTGTTGGACTGGATGGGCCACTGGCCTGATCCAACATTGGCGTCTCTTATGTTCTTATGTTCCCCAAACCCTGCCGCTCAGGCTCCATCTCCCTCAAATCTCCAGGAATTCCCCCAACCCAAAGGGGAGGGACCTCACCTCAGCAGGGTATAAGGCCACAGAGAGTCCATCCTACAAAGCAGCCATTTTGTCCAAGGGACAGGGTAGGCTTGCCAACTCCAGATCAGAATAGTTCTGGTGATTTGGTGTAGAAGCCTGGGGAGGGGGATGGTTTGGGGAGGGGAGGGACCTCCGTAGGGTATCATGCTACAGAGTCCACCTCCCCAAAGGGCCACTTTCTCCGGGGGAACTGATCTCTGCTGTCTGCAGGTAAGTTGTAATTCCAGGAGATCTCCAGTGAGTAGAAAATAGTCAATGGCAAGCATGATATATTTACGAAGGGAATATCACTCTTCTATAGATTTTCAAAAATTGGATCAGTATTAATACTAATAATAGTGGTTAAGTGCGCGGACTCTAATCTGGGAGAACTCGCAGCTGCTGGATGACCTTGGGCAAGCCGTAGTTCTGATAAGAGCTGTTCTTGAAAACAAGCAGTTTCTCTCAGAGCTTTCTCAGCCCCGCCTACCTCACAGGGTGTCTGTTGTGGGGAGGGGAAGGGAAAGGAGTTTGTGAGCCGCTCTGAGACTCCTTCAGGTAGTGAAGGGCGGGGTGTAAATCCAATCTCATCCTCCTCCTCCTCCTCTCCTTCTTCTTCTTCTTCTTCTCCTTCACAAGAATAATCATCAAAAAGTGATTCCACAGTGTTGACAAGCACAGTCCAATAATCTAAAGTTCTTACAGACAGTAAATCCTCTTTGTGTCTTTCTTGTAGTAATATTGGATTGTAGACAAATAGCATAAAGGTCACGAATCTGCAGACAGGCTTGCTCCAACACCTGTTTCCTATGGCTTCTTCAGAGCAGAATACGTGTCGACTCGGTGAATCCTTCTCTACTCAGCATTCATCTCTGCATGCTGTCTCTCTGCATGATGCTCACACTCAGTGAGATCTTCTCTTATTCAGTTTTCTCTGTGTATGCTTTCTCTCGGACTTGAGAACGAATATTGATCCCATTTTTGAAAATCTATAAAAGAGTGATATCCCCAGGGGTCATTTCCTGCAGGAGCGCACCGGAGCAGAGCTCCGGCAGTAAAGAGCCCAGGGGGTGGGCACATGCAACAAGCCCCGCCCCCTGCTCCCTGCAGCCCCGGGCCATGAGGAGCACGAGGATCTGCGCGTGTTCCCCCCCCCCATAGCTAGCAATCCAAAACAGTCCAGTGGAGCCTGAGCAATGGGTGTTGCCTTCCGACACACTTCCGGTGATGTCAGGGGGTGTGGCCTTTGCAAATAAGTTATGCTAATGAGCTCCTGCAGCTTTTTTTCTACGAAATGACCCCTGGATATTCCCTTCGTAAATATATCACAGTTGCCATTGACTATTTTCTACCTCCCTGGAGGTTGGCAACCGTGGCATTCCGGCCTGAGCATTCCCTCTGACAGCCAACTCTTAGCCATATTTACTCACAAACAAGTCCAATTGATTTCAAAAGGATTTACTCACAAGGGAATGGCTAACTCCCACCGTAAAAAGAGACTCCTCACTCTGATGCGAAGGTCTCAGGTGAGCAACGCATGGCATTTCGTGGTTTAAAAAACATTAACTCCCTTCAGGAATGGGTGGCTGGGAGTGGAGGAGCGGCAGCCAAAATGGGGCCTTAAAGTTTTGCCCACTTGCTAGTTCTACAGTCCAAAATATTGCCTCCCCCCCCCCCGTGCCTTCCTCCCCTCAGAGACTCGTGGTGGCTGGCAATGTTCCCTCTAAGCTGTGGAGTCTTGTGAGCAAAAAGTCTACTTTGTGAGCTACTGGCATTAAAGTTGTGAGCCGAGCGATTTGGCTGCTGCATAAATTAGCTGGCTCTGGATCTATCCTTCCTGAGCTAAGACAAAAAGGTGGGAGCCGGAGGCTAAAAAACTGAGCTAGCTCACACTAACTCAGCTTAGAGGGAACATTGGTGGCTGGTGTCCTTCCGCTATCACAACTGAACTCCAGGCGACAGAGATCAGTTCCCCTGGAGAAAATGGCCGCTTTGGAAGGTTGGACTCTCTGGCATGATGCCCCATTGAAGTCCCCTCCCCAAACCCCGCCCTCCTCAGGCTCCACCCCCCTCCAAATTTCCAGGGAGTTCCCCACCCAGAGCTGGCCACCCCAATGTTTACTGCATCTGGAACCCTGTTGAGAGGGAAAGTGGTTGGGGGACGGTTTGAAGTGCAGAACCAAAATGCGGGAGCAGGTGTCAGTCGCCCATTTTGTCTCACCACAACAAAACCACCCTTACCTGAACCTTTTTTAAAAAAAGCTTCACAGGTTTAATTACGTGTTTGCATCTGATGCTTACTTAGCTTCTAAATTAATACAGATAACCAGCAGAGTCTAGACAACTCCCTTTCCTGCCTCTGAAGTTTAATAACCTCCGTATATTACCCCTCCTCTGATATCTGTGATCCTGTCTGTGTTGTCTTTTCCTTCCTTCCTTGGTTTTTACACTTTCCCTCCCACCTCCGTCCCATTCCTCAGCTTCCTTCGGGAGTAAGTCTCCTGCTAGAAACGGCCTCTCTCGTTTCCCTCCAGGCGGATCGCTTTGTGAACCAGAATGGCGCCGCCGAGGACTCCTGATCGGGATCTCTGAAGGCGCCTGGGGCCTAGACCTCCAAGAGACAATGTCACAGAAACCGTCCAGCGGCAGTTGAATCGCCAAGGAAAGAAATGAGCTCCGAGTGGGTCCCTGTGGGTTTCCCGTGGCACGCTTTTCCCTGAGGGAGGAGTCCTCCCGCTTCCTCAGTTTCCCCCGGGCATCACAAGAGACCCTTCCGAGGCCCTTTGTTGGTCACCGGGATGTCATCGGACAACCAGTCTTTGGAACTGTGTAAGGACCGCAGTGCCAGCCACAAGCTTCACCTGATTGGATACAGCCTGATCTTCACAGCCGGCTTGCTTCTCAACGTTGCGGCCCTCTGGATCTTCCTGTACTACCTGCGCATCAAGTCTGTGGTGAGCATCTACATGCTGAACTTGGCTGTGAGCGACCTCCTTTTCACAGTATCTCTGCCGTTCCGTATCTACTACTACGCCGTCGGGGAATGGCCCTTCGGGACGTTCCCTTGCCAGGTCTCTGGCTCCGTCTTCCAGATCAACATGTACGGCAGCTGCCTCTTCCTGATGTGCATCAACCTGGACCGCTTTGTCGCCATCGTCTACCCGCTCCGCTGGCGCCACCTCCGGCGCCCTAAGGTGGCCCGGCTGCTCTGCCTGGTGGTGTGGGTGCTGATCCTGATAGGCTCAATCCCAGTGGCTGGCGTTCACAAAACCACGTCCTGTCGGAAGGAAAACCAGAACGTCACGCTGTGTTTCGAAAGCTTCAGTAACGACCTGTGGCAGAAGGGACTCTTCCCCTTGGTCGTTCTGGCAGAGATTCTCGGCTTTCTCCTGCCTCTCACTTCTGTGACCTACTGCTCGATTAGAATCTTCCGGAAACTGTGCAAGCCGGGGCGGGAGCAAAGCCTGCGCCAGCAGAAGACGATCCGCCTGCTCGTGGTCAACTTGGTCATCTTTATCATCTGCTTTGTCCCTTATAACATCATCCTGGCAGCTTACGGGATGATTAAGGCCCGCGTGTTCCCGACTGAGCAGCTGACGAAGGATTTGGTGCGCCAGGCCTTGGTCGTGACAGTGCTTTTGGCCAGTATGAACTGCACCCTGGACCCCTTGATCTATTACTTCAATACGGAGGGCTTCCGAAACACGTTAAAGAAACTGCGGCGGGGGCAAGCTTGGGACTCTGAGACGGGAACGCTTCAGACTCGGGTGATGCAAAGCAAACCTCTCCGGGGAAACACTAAGGCAGAAGCCAAACGGTTCCCGGTCCGGCACTTGATCCTCCCGCACAAGGATTTGCCCTTTGCTCCTCCTAAGATATTTTTAAACAGCCCCATTGAAGACTCTGAAATATAAGAACGCTGGTGACTTCGGGAACTTCGGAACAGGGTGAAAAGATAATGATGACGAAACTCGAATATGGAGAGGGAGGGGCAGATGTTTAGTCAAAGTCAAGCAAAGGCAGCTCCATATTTCCCCGGGTGGTTTCAGACATTATTTTTAGACTTTTGTGTTCATTCCTGGGCGAGGTCTGTTCACATGAACACTGCATACAAGATAGCAGTGTTGTTGCTTGGATTATACGTCCAGGGCAGACTCTCACGTTTATGCTATACTCCTCTCTAGAAACCAGCACCAAAGGGTATTAAAAATGACCTCTTGGGGCACAGCTGTTGAAATTCAAAGTTCACACTGCTCAGGTAGACTGCTCCTGTACAAAGCTGTGCAAAAAATGCTAAGTGCTACTGTCCAATCCTGTATCAGCCATTTCCAGTGTTCTCTTTCCCATGAATGTTATTCAGTGGCTGCTATTTATTGCTTTTGACTGCTGGCACAGGGACTATGAAAGTTGTAAAAGCTGCTCTTACTAAGCCTCTCAGCAAGTGCTAACTAGCTTTTCATCCAGTATCTTGAAAACATGCTTAATGATTCTACACTGAAAAGAAAACATATAGTTTAACATTATTTTAATAATTAAATATATGATCTTTTTTATGCCCTTGCTCAGTTTGTGCTTGTAGGCAGGCCTATGATGTTGGCTCTTAGCTGCAGATACTTCATGTATTAAATTGTACATGCAAACAGGCTGATTCCAAGAGCGGGAACAACATATCTAAACAACAGGGCTCTTCAGACATTGCTAGAACTGCCAGACCTCCCCGTAGTTGCCCACCACTTCTCCAAGAGGTAGTGCGATAATTTTTTTTTTTTAAGAACCCTCTGCGCCACTCTGTCAGAAATACTAGAAGTGGCTTAGGGTAGCTCTAGGAATCATTGGTAACTCTATGGTTTTACCATAGAGTTTCCAGTGGTTCCTAGAGCTGCTGTACACCACTTCCAAGTTTTCCCTGGAAGTGACATAGCAGTGCCAGGTTGCCAGGCATGTACCAGGAGGTTATTAACCATGGATCTTCCTGATAAATGCAGTCACTGTGCTGCCTGAAAGGATCAACATATTGATTTTCAGCTATGGTGTATACAGAAGCCAACACCCTGAAAATTTAGACTTCAGTGTATTGTGTAAAGAGGTTTGGCATGCAGACAATCCTGCACTTTGCCTCTTTTAGACAACATGACAACCACACATATCTGGAGCATCACGGGTAGTGTACGCTGCCAGTTGGTACGGATGGCAGCCTCCTGGTACACACGATCATAATGTCTGATGTCTTTATAGCAACCAAGCTAACTTGGCCCTCCCTTCTGGTCTGGGAGAAAGTCCCAGTACAAAAACCACTGGTTATGCCCTAAGTATTGCTTGTGTGGAATATGCAACAGGGAGAAAGAACCAACATGCAACTCGTCCGCTCCTACAACTCCCTTCTGCTAAGTGAGAGGAGTCTTGCTCCAAAAGAGAGAGACTTTCACTAGAGCAAATACAGCCTTTTTCTTTGGGTTCTACAACTTCCTTTCACGAAGTGAGGAGTCTCTCCCTCTCCCTCTCTTACAAAGGAACTTCAAAGGGAGATTAGAAAGAAAGACTCCCGAACTGCAACTGATAACAAAACCTAAGACAAGCATCCACCTGGGCTGAATCGAGACCTAGGTTTCCTGTCTCATTACCGGTGCTGATTTCTCCACACCTACTACCTCTCTGCATATCACCCCTAATCCAATAACACCTACTATTGTCAGTGGCCTGCTAATGTCATTTTGGCATCTGAAATCACTCCACTTTCCAATATATAGGACAGACGGACTCACATTCTAGCTGTATCTGAAGAAGTGAGCAGGGAGTCACGAAAGCTCCTACCCTGCCAAAAATTTTGTGAGTCTTAAAAGGTGCTGCTGGATTCTTGCTCTTTTCTCTGTCTCTGCCAGCCTCACCTACCTCACAGGGAGGAGGGGAGAATGCTGTATGCTGCCCTGAGTTCCTTGGAAGAAGGGCAGGGTAAGAATATATTACATGAACAATGAGGGCGGATGCTTGAACTGCCGAAAACGTCTACGGGGGGGGGGGGAGATCACTACTGTGATAGTAATTTGAACACCTGGAAGCAGCGTGTGGTATGCCCACACCTGTAGACACACCTGCATGTTTGAAGCTGCCAAGTTCGGACTGGTTCTCGCATGTCTGTATGGGTTGCCACAGCTGGATCATTCACACTCTCTCCTTAAACTGCCAATGAGGCCAAAGACAAGAGGAAACTCCCACGTGTTTTTCCACCCCTGTCTCCCATTTTCGTACCCCCACCCTCATGCCACACATCTGGAGTTCTGCTCACAGCTGTGAGGGATGGGAGAAAAACAAAAGGAGGAGGGCCCTGCAGAATCCTCGGGCTGCGTTCTGGCAATCTTCCATTGGCCACCTGATGGCTGCAACAGCAGGACATCAGGGATCTGTGGAAAGGATGAAGGGAGAAAGGGGCAGAGGAAGCAGGGAGGGGCCAAGGGAAGAGACCGCTGGGAGAAGGAACCACAACAAAAAGAACCAGTGTGGGGTAGGGGTGGGCTAGACCCTGGGCGACCCAGGCTAAAATCCCCACGTCCACCATGGAAGCTCCCTGGGAGGAGGGGGGAGGAGAAGGAGAAGGAGAAGTGCTGGTTTTTATACTCTGCTTTTCTTTATCTCAAGGAGTCTCAGAATGGCTTACAATCTCCCTCCCTCCCTCTCCCCACAACAGACACCCTGTGAGCAGTGTTCCCTCTAAGCTGAGTTAGTGTGAACTAGCTCGCAGTTTTTTAGCCTCCGGCTCACACGTTTTTGTCTTAGCTCAGGAAGGAAGGCTCCAGAGCAAACTAATTTATGCAGTAGCCGAATCGCTCACTCACAACTTTAATGCCCGTAGCTCACAAAGTAGGATTTTTGCTCACAAAACTCCACAGCTTAGAGGGAACATTGCCTGTGAGGTAGGTGGGGCTGAGAGAGCTCTTTTGAGAACTGCTCGTGAGAGCAGCTCAGAGAGAACTGTGGCTTGCCCAAGGTCACCCAGCAGCTGCATGTGGAGGAGAGGGGAAATCAAACCCAGTTCCCCCAGATTAGAGTCCGCTGCTCTTAACCCACATTTTTTAAAAAATCTACCCTCAAAGGGTAGAATTTTATTTGTTTTTTCATAAGAGACAAACCGAACATACACACATACAACACAAATGGGGTTATCAAATGCTTATGTTTCCATTAATTGCCTCTTAGATATTCTCTATCTAATATAATATCACATAACATTATTTTCTATGAGCTCATGTTTTTGTATCTTAAAACCAACATCTATACCTGCTATCTCAATGATCTAATCTCTACTTTGCTCCAGGGATTACATTTTTAGGTTACAATGATTTGCACTATTATACCAATTATAAAGGCGCCTCCATGTGTTCTGAAATGTGTAGTTTGTGGATCCGCTTATCAACAAAGTCAATTTATCACTTTCCGCTGTTTCCATCAGTTTTTGTATATATTCTTGCTTTTTTGGTACATCTTGTGCCTTCCAGTATTTGGCATATAATATTCTTGCCGCTGAACTACTACACCACATTGTGTTCAATAGTTCTCATGTTACATTCAACATGTATATAGCTGAACATGCGACTGAAACCCCACATTTATCCAGGTAGTGCTGCCAGTTGCCATTTATAAAATGTGCATGCATTGGATCTTTCTTCCATACAGATGTCAGCACATACACGCAGGATGTATGTGCTCTGTAACATGTGAACAGGACTTTTGAAGTGTCCCCTCATTTGGTTTCGAGCATGTCCCTGCCTTTCTGATTGCTGTGGATGATTACAAATTACCTCAAAACACCACGCTGGATGACTAGTTTCCCACACAGAGGCAGACACACCATGGAAGGTTGACAGCTGTTCATCCCATAAATTTTCAGTGACTGTGAGGTAAAATAATTAGCTTTAGTTATCTCATATTGATGTTTCTTGATCCCACCCCTCCTCTTATCATGTATCACCATTTTCCCTCCCTTGAGCTGCCAGGAAAAAGATCTGGAGAGCTCAATAGTTCTTAAAACCCAGGGCTATTTTTGGGCAGGAACGCACAGGAACGCAGTTCCGGCTGGCTCCCGAGTTGGCCACGCCCAGCAGGAACTCATTAGCATAATAGGCCACACCCAACAGCAGGAACTAATTAGGATTGGCTACATTAGGGGTGTGTGGCCTAACATGCAAAGGAGTTCCTGCTACAAAAAAAGGCCCTGGGTCTTGACAACAAACAAGGTAAACAGAATAAGAAGGGAAAGGTGGGTGTGGCTGGATGACCACACTTCTGGTAACATGGGGGTTATGTGCTAATGTGCTAATAAGCTGTGCTGTCAGGGGTGTGGCCTAATATGCTAATGAGTTTCCACTGTTGGGTGTGGCCTATTATGCTAATGAGTTCCTGCTGGGCTTTTTCTACAAAAAGAGCCCTGTTAAAACCCATTTGACCAGAGGCGGCACTGAGAAGAGAAACATATGAGAGTACCTCAGGGAAATGGGTGCCTGTCTCAGATGACTTTCAGTTCTCTTAAAAACTGCTGCCTGCCCCTAACTTGAGGAAGAAACAAAGCTTTGCATGGCGAGAAATGCTAAGCTGTGTTGTCTGCAGTCCAGAAAATAGATCTTAACGGAGCAGAAAGAACTTACTAGGTATCGCTTTCTAAGGTATTCACAAACATTTTTGTCCTGCTCAGCTGCTGAGACGGGCTGACCCTGGTCTTTGCCACTGAAGACTGTGCTGCGAGGTAGGCCTGTCTGTCCAGTCCTGCTGGTAGCTCAGTAACTTGTGGAGGGGTTTCTGGACTGTACGGACGGAGTGCGGTTTTTGCCTCTGCTAATCATTGTTCTGATGGGCCAAACGACATGCTGTGTTGGAAATTTGTGATGGAATCTCCTGGTGTGGTAATTTTGTTTTTTAATCCTCCCAGCCCTGTTAAAACCCATTTGACCAGAGGCGGCACTGAGAAGAGAAACATATGAGAGTACCTCAGGGAAATGGGTGCCTGTCTCAGACGACTTTCAGTTCTCTTAAAAACTGCTGCCTGCCCCTAACTTGAGGAAGAAACAAAGCTTTGCATGGCGAGAAATGCTAAGCTGTGTTGTCTGCAGTCCAGAAAATAGATTTTAACGGAGCAGAAAGAACTTACTAGGCATCGCTTTCTAAGGTATACACGAACATTTTTGTCGGGCTCAGCTTAGATCTTGCAAGTTTTTGGAACAATACAGAACTTCCAGGGCTATTTTTGGGCAGGAACGCACAGGAACAGAGTTCCGGCTGGCTCCCGAGGTGGCCACGCCCAGCAGGAACTCATTAGCATAATAGGCCACACCCAGCAGCAGAAACTAATTAGGATTGGCTACATTAGGGGTGTGTGGCCTAACATGCAAAGGAGTTCCTGCTACAAAAAAAGCCCTGAGTTTTGAAAACAAACAAGGTAAACAGAATAACAAGCAGAAGGTGGGTGTGGCTCGATGAGCACACTTCTGATAACGGGGTGCGGCCTAATATGCTAATGAGCTATGCTCTCATGGGTGTGGCTGGATATGCTAATGAGTTTCTGTTG